GAGTCGAAAGCTTATGAAACCTTGCGAGCAAATTCCGAAATGAGCAATCGATCTCTTTAACTCTGCATGCGGATAGACGATTATGGCGGTTAATCCGTGTTGAAGGCTTCGCCGACATTGTCTACGTGGTGCCTTGAAACGTTGTGCATGTATTGTAGGTTTGTAGAGTAATTGATTGTGTCCGGATCAACGTGATTTGGATGATCATTTTCGCGATCGGCTGTAACATGTAAATTCCGGCGCCTCGGTTCGTGGCCCACGAATTGGCAAAGCGGGGTAGACCAAACAACATGAGGCGAGTCCGCCTGGGTTGCGAACACGCGGAGCCAAGATGGATGGATACCCAGCGACTCTACATCAAAGCTCGTACTGGATCTTAGAGCGACACTGAAACTATGGAGTGTTTTCGGGCGCAATCTTCCGGTGCGATACTTACGCGAAAGCGAGCTGGCTCAATGCTTGCTCCCATGACCAGTCCAATTTCACATTGACAACGTTTGCTCGTTGTCACAGTTTACAAGAAACACAATGGTGTAGAACGGAAAATGTACGGAGGAATGAGAGGAATACATATTTGATTTGAGCGAAATATTGCTACTCCAGAAGTATTATAGCGTTGGTGCTCAAGAAAGTAGCGCCATCATCATGAAGTCCACAATGATAGCCTGGGAACTGTCAATAGAAGCAATGCACAAAGCTTACTCTGAAGTACCAGTATCTAAAGCTTAAAATCTACTAGTATATGCTACAGCGTACGGGACCCGAGCCTTGGTCTTCTCATGCTGTGGAACACTAAGTGCTGAAGTAAACGTGCCTGGTAACGTGTCGATATAGTACACACACATACGTTGAAGCCCACCGTTTATTTCTTTTTATCCTACCGCACGTCACTTCGTATGCAATTGAATCAATCTACCACTTTCCTCTCGCTGTCGTTCCAAAAGTTTAATCGGTGGGCTTACCTACTCGCTTAAACATTCATAATGGGCTCCTTCTGGACGCTTTCCTGCGTCATACTCGGTGTCATCATCGAAGCAAAATCGGTTGATGGTGGGTTGGCAGCCTTGACAGTGGGGCCGTTGTGGTCCTGTGCGCTGTAGTCGTAGGCTAGACCGCCGTGGTACGACACGTCAATGCCGTTCACCTCCTTGTCCTCGTCCACACGGAGGCCGATCGTGAGTTTCAGCACATACAGGATGATCATAGTAACCACGAACGAGTAGGCCGCAGCCACACACTGCGAGACCAACTGGTGCACGAACAGCATTCCGTGGCCGTAGAAGGCGCCTCCTTCGATGTTGGGGTTCACCTCGGACGTCGCAAACAGACCGGTCATGAGTCCACCCATGACACCAGCACAGCCGTGAATACCGAACGAGTCCAGCGTGTCATCGTAGCGCAGGTGGTTCTTCATGTGCACGGCGCCAAAGCCTGTGATCGCACCCACCACGCCGAAGATAACCGAAGCCCAGGGGTACACGTAACCACAGGCTGGGGTGATCGAAACCAAGCCAGCTACGGCACCACTAGCAGCACCGCAAGGATCAAACTTCTTGTACATGGCAAACTCCATACCCACCCAGGTGAGGAACCCAGCACTAGCAGCAAGGTGCGTGTTAATCGCAGCAGTAGTAGCAATTCCGTCGGCAGCACCGGAGGAACCGGCGTTGAAGCCGAACCAGCCGAACCACAGCAACGTGGCGCCAATCATGACCAGCGGTACGTTGTGGGGCTTCACAGGTTCGCCGTGGTTGTAACGCTTGCCGACAACAAGAGCGGCAGCGAGGGCTCCGAATCCGCTGGAAATGTGGATAACAGTGCCACCAGCGAAGTCGAGGGACCCCATTTTGCCCTCCCATCCCATCGAAGTGATAGCCCACGAACTGTCAAGTTTCATCGACCACATCCAGTGGGCCAACGGGTCGTAGACCAGCGAAGTCCACAGGAAAATGAAGAGCAAGTACGAGCCGAACTTCATGCGACCCACGATGCCACCGCTGAGAAGAGCCGGCGTAAGCATGGCGAACTGCGTCTGGAAGAAGGCGAACAGGATGTGCGGGATGCCCGTGCCGTAGGTGCCACTAGGGACCTCACGTACATTGTTGTAGCCCGCCCAACCGAAGATGCCGTGCGAACTGAA